TCGAGGAGGTGGAGGGGCGTAAGATCTTCTCGAATGTAAACGGAAATGTGAAATATAGTCTCGATATAATCTACCTGGGTAGTCTGTTCGTCGCTTTCCCCAAGCCGCTCATCGCATTACCTCGCAAACAGGTAAACGCCTTTGATGAGAATCAAATGCGGCATCTGAGTAACTAAATTTACGGGGGATGCTGCTTCGATACTATTCGACGAACAGCTATATAGATTATAGATGGACTTCTAGCGTCCGGCATCCCCGCGATTACTACCGCGGCGGTTCCCCCGGAACAATCAGTTAAGTTTCGCGCACGAATTCATATCTCGCGCATCGTTTGTCTCGAACAGAAGCTCGCAGGCATTCGTCGGGGACATTTGAAGCGATGAGCTACGGAGCGAGAGAAAGAGGGAGAGGGTTCGCCGAGTTCAGAGGGCGATTGCCGTGCGTGTGAAGGTGGGAGAGAAGCGCTCAGTCGCGCGAGAAAGATGGAGAGAGCAGCCCCGCGTATTCGCAAACACGCAAATTTCAAAAGGCACTCGACTATGTGATGTCGCGGCGGGCATGAGCGACGTGGGGCTCTCCGACGACGTATGCAAATACAGATCGAGCATGATAAATTGCTCTTGTCAAGCCACCCGGTATTTCGCACGAGCCTATAGAAACCCGTTTACCACCGAGAGATACGGATTCCGCATATAATCTCGCCGACGGTTGAAGCAGCGCCGCGACGTGTCGCGTCGGACGAAACTTTCGCGTGCGTTTTAGTCAGCGCCATCGCCGACGACGACGACGACGATGACGACGCACCCAGCTATACCTCCGGCGCCATTATCGTTCGCTACCGTCGCCGCCGTCGCTGCGAATTTTAATGGAATAGTCGCGTTGTCGCCGCGGAACGATACCGCGACTCGCGATTTGTCATGCCGCCAGAAATGCCGATGATCCTTTCGTCTCATTCGCGACGGCGAACTCTCGAGGAAAGCTCTCACGTGGCACGAATGGAATTAGGTTCGATGTAGCGCTCTCGGAAAATTGTCTCTTTCTTCATTTTGTCGCGTTCTCATATGAATCTTATTTGTCTTATTTTAATATAAACTCGATAAGATTTTTTAATCGCACCACTTATTTAAAAACGAAAAGAAAAAGAAGATCTTAAAATAATGTATTTTTCTTGTAATGTCTTAATCGGCGACTATCGAGTTTTATTTCTACGTTGATTATACACGAGCGGTCCTAGTAAATACGTAGCAGATCTAGTCGACAGCTGAGATTTAGGGACGACTGCGATATTACTTTTCCTTTATGATTGTACCGAGCTATTAACAATGTACGAACTTGAAAAGACTCGTGACATTATTTCGACGGAGAGGATCAGTATCTATTTCTACCGGTCTCGAAAGAAAGCAAGAGTCGACGCTCGACTTTTAGACGCGGATTTCGCGTCTAAATCGTCTCATTACAAGATTTCGTAGGGGGTCTCGGCGCATCTGCATCAGACGCAGCGTGAAACCGGTTTGCCAACCTCGTATCAACCTACTAAAATGTTTTTTTTTTTACGGCGATTTATTGCTCGTCACGTCACGCGAAAGATGTCGTCAACGAACTCGCCGCAGTTTGAAAATTGTTCTCAATGTAACGGCGAATATATGATAGTAACCGGTTCTTGTGATAATCCCAGTATGTTAAGTACATTAGTGTCATTTTACGCTTATTTTATTATTATCGCAAGTATCGATAGCAATTTAATCGCTAGTGCAAGTAGCGATTTTTCTTGCTCTTTACATAAAATGTATACATAATTTATACTTCAGGATTAGATTATTAATTATTTTATATTAGGTTTAATTTTATTTTATATAATACATATTAATACTTTTACACAATATACGAGCTTACTTAATACACGTATCATTATCGCGTATTATGATAGTAAGTAAAATGCTCGCTAATAGAACGTTATATTTTTGCGCTCGTACATTTCACTTGTCCGTCCACATTATATCGATTCAATATGATATAGGGAGAGGAAGACGGATATTCCAATTATCCATATGTTTTGAATCATAGGTATATATTTCATATGTATATCTCTATAGCTGGATTATTAGATATTCCATTTAGTGCAAAAATCACAATTAATTCACCATTAAATTGATACATATCTCTATTGATTTTCTGATGTAAAATTATTCTCCTGATGTAAATATATTCTCGCATATATATAACAGCCAATAATATTAAAATATATGAAACGGCGCAATCATTCTCGATATTGCAACTGCAATAACAGAGAATTCGAGTCGAAGCTATTCGATATATATCGTAGTCATTGCCATCACATATTGCATTCCATCGAAAGGTGTCCTCTATTCAGTAGCAATCGTGTAGAAGTGGAGGATATATGCGAAATATTAAATTCGCGTTCCCTTTCGCGATAGTCGCGCAACGTCATCTGTCATGAAAGATTACGATATCGTCGCGATAGGGAGCTCGAAATATGATGAGCTACAACGAGAACGAGTACAATCGATTTGAGAACTGATTTGTCAGAGGCATCAACGTCACGTCTTCAAATCGAATCCCACTCTGCATTTTCCCACTCAATCCACTCTGCCTCTTTTCCTTTGACCAAACTGCTTTTCACATTGTTCCGACGAGTGTTTTCGCTCGATGGGTTTGGTTTTCGAAAGCATCGTACCGCGTTCAATTCGATCGGAGGGATGAAAAGGACGGCTCGCTCGTAGCTAATGATGGTCATCTAGCCGTTGACCAGGGAGTTACGCGACCGAATAACCCCGGTTTGAGAGAGACTAGGATCTGATGATATTAAACCCTCAGCTGTTAGTACGTTTCGGTGCAATTCTCTTAAATGAATTAAATGAATCGGAAAAGATACCGCGCGATTTATTAGAAAATTCGAAAATATATTTAAAAAATGTCGACGTAAAGCACGCGAAATACGTGTATATTTTTGGAGCAGTATTTGATTTTCTAGACCATTTCTATTTCATTATGCGATGTCGGTGAATATCGGTAAATGCACCTGTTGGTTTCTCAGAGGGTTCGTGAAGTTAAAATCGATAATTGATAAGACCCACTTCAACGAGGGCAGATTCATCGAGAATTTCAATTTGGTGATTAAACCGATTATAATCGTGATTAAAATGTAGGGAGATTAAATATAAAGGAATATAAAATATTTAAATATATATATATATATATATATATATATATATATATATTTAATTTTATTTATTTTTATAATATTGATTATAATATTTTTATCTCAAACTAGTACAACACTCATGATACGATTTGATTTACACATTTCCCATTGTATTCAGATTTTACAAAACCGCCTAAATGCATATGCGTTCATATCGAAAATAAATATAGCAAAACGACAATTGCACACTACAATGACATTCCACTACGGCCAAATTTCCAGTTCGGATTTCAGAAGAGAATAATTACCTCGCATCGTGCGTATCTCATGCCACCTCCCATGTTTGCTCCAAGCTGGCGGAAGCGTACGCACTATTATTGAATAATTCAGCGGCGAGCGGATGTAGCGCACGCACATTGGATGCTGCAAGCTACAGCGACGCGAGGCTGCTGAGAGTGTGAGCTCTTTTGCGCAGAGGGAGGAGTGCATTCATCGGGAGAGGAAGAGGGCGAGGAGGGAGACGCAATATCTGGAGGACCGGGTTTTGCCGTATGTCTCTCCCTCTCTCGTTTGCCCCTTTTTTCCGCGCAGCCCACGGTTCCCTACGGACCGCCAGGCGCAGGACGTTGACCTGACCCGGTGAAACACATACGAGGGTAGTCCTTACGCGGACTCTGAACCGTATCGCGCACCGTTCACGAGACGAGAGGATATTACAGAGACTTCTTTGCGATATGGCGAGGGGTAGGCGGTGACGACCGTATGAAAATGCGAATGCGCAGAGGATGAGAGACGAATATAGGAGAGGAGCCAACGTATACGCATTAGGCTATCCTTCTTTTTCTCTCATTATACGTGCTCGCGAAACGTCGTTTATTCGCACCGCGGGTGATTCTGTCTTTCTTTGAATACGTTCTCTCCTCTTCCGTTTTACCCTCGTCACTCTCGAAGCATCGTTCATTCGCACCCCGCGCTCTCGGGAATATGGGACGTGCGTAAGCCTGGTAACGAGTCACGCGGTGATATATAAGGCATAATCGCGCGATAACATGTCGCGTGATTAAATTTTTCTCATACCGAGCAAAGTACAATTCTTTGTTGAAACAATTACAAATAGATGTGTATCGGAAATTTAAGACACGGTACGTCGCAACATCGGTATCTGTATGATTTATGCGTTCTATTACTCATAAATGAGCGTGCGCCGCCGGGCTTTGAACCTTGCTGACATTTCAGAAGAGCACGAACAGGAGGCGCGCGAATGAATAATTTAATGGCGATCAAATAGCGGTAGATTGCCCCTTGAAGAGATTTGCTCCGGGTCGTCCAAACTATATCTTTTTCCGCACGCTATTGTTTCATACAATCATGTACATGTTTTAATATTATCCTTCCATATTTTATAAGATTCTATTTCTATAATTTTTACATCATTATCAAAGATAAATTCACTGAGAAAAATAACCGGTGAAAAGATAACGAACGGATATTATCCAATTATTAACCGATCACTTTAATCGGATATCTGATCGGAAAATTCCGAATTTTGAACTTTCTGATCAGATATCCGATCGATTGATATTTTCTGATTGGATATCTGATCGATTTCTTTTTTTTTTTATTAAAGTGGTCGGATAATATCCGTTCGTTACCTTTTCACCGGTTATTTTTCTCAGTGTTTATCCGTATTAAAGCTTAAGGAGAATTCAAGCTCGTGTATTCTTCAAATATAACATGCAATAATTCGCGTATTTCTTATCGATGAAAGTAAAAGTGACGAAGAAATGGCAATGAACGGAAAGATTCTTGCAAAACTGATATCAGAAAAAACCGAAATATGGCGACGTGTCATCATTCGCGCGCAGCCGAGCGCATTGACCCGGTCAATCCGACTGCTGCGATGAATGCGCACGTAAGTGCAGCCTTATGCAATACGCTAGAAAGGGTTGGTGGTGTATGCACGATGGTTGGAGAGGTCCGGGATAATGTCGAAGCACGTTGAGTAGGGAAAGGAACGGAAAGATCGAGTGCACGGTGGGAAACGCATGATATAGAAGAGGGGGAGGGCAGCGTTGCATTATGAATACGCCACTATTCACCCCGCTTATTACTTCCTACATACCGGTCCTCTCTCTTGTCCAGGTACGCACGAAACGCGCGTACAAGTCATCACGTACACGCACACGTATATAGTTTCGTTCTCAAAGAATAGCAATTTGCGTGCGGCAACTTTGCGGGCAACCGAAACCAAATGAATAGATGCGGATGTATATGGGAATAAAGAAAAAGAAGAGAAGGAAGAGGACGGCGAGCCAGTTGAAATTTTTCGAATGCTCGATCCAATTCCCTTTTTTTCGAGGTAAAAGGTAATGGTTGTGAACGTGCGATAGCACGTGAATCTTTCATAAGCGAACTAAGTCGGCGCGTATACTCGCAGGATACGGTAGTCTTATTAAACGATGAATAATAAATCGGGTGTCGCAGGTGTTAGCTGAAGGCGGTGTCGTCGAGGATAGTTGATGGCCAAGGAAGAGATATATCGAGTCGCGCTGAATTTGATACTCTGTTTCTGATTGAAACAAAAATATCTTTAAGGGATTATATACAGGAGTGTAAAGAAATAAATTTATACATATATGTAAATTTTACATAATGTTAAAAGGCATTCTATTTTTTTAATTCGCTAGACTCTTATAACTTTGTAGAATAAATTTGTTTTATCACAAGTTTTAATATACAACAAAATAATTCTTTTTTAATTATTAATATATGATTATTTAACGAAAGTATATATTTATTTTCTGATTATAGTTATATTTATTTGACTTCATTTTTTTTGTATAAATATTATATATATTATAAAAATGCAAACTAAATTTTTTAGAAACATGTGCATGTTATTAATATCACGCTTATCGAAAATTTACTTTAACGATCAATCTGAAAACTATCGTCTTCGGTCGACAAATATCTCGAATACGTAGCCTCGAATCGGCGGGTGGCTCGTCGATTTCGAATTTAACACCGCAGCGGGAGGTGGAGCGAGCGAGATGAGAGGAGTCCATGGCGTAGGATTAACAACCGGATAATGAAGTCAGTGTTTCATGCCCTGTGAAATTGCGCTCACTCGGGCCGCCATTCGATTCTCGCTTTGATTGCGCCATGGGCGAAAGCACAATGGCTATAAACCGTCCAGCGTTGAGCACCATCGCTAGTAGCCCTCCCCGCCTTCCCTCCCATCCCTTTATTCAATAGAATTTTCGGGCTCGAGATTTTCCAGATTTTTCAACGTGTTCGTCAATGCTTTGAAAGCATTAGCCATTTCGAAATGTTCGATGTTCACGACTTCGTTTTATGAAATTAAAAGCTGAAACGCGAACGTACAATTGACCGTTGCGATAGAAATCCTATTAATCCCTTCTGGACGTATTTTGTACCGAGTATTTAAATATATTTTTTTCTATATAAGTTAAATTATATTTTTATATATGATAGAAATAAATATATTGCAATAAATAAATATTCTTACTGCTTGAGGGACGCACTTAAAAAGAAAAAAACCATTTAATATGGAACTATTTATTTAATATGGAACATGATATTAGAAAATCTCTTTGAAAAAAAACGATTGAAAATGCGCTGCTCAAAAAGATTATTAAATAAAAAAAAAAACAGTATTACACAATACTTACAAAGTTATATCGTTACATTGTGTTTTAACGATCATGAAATATTGCTGCAAACAAAATGAAATAGCGCGCGTACCACCGAGCTTGATCGAATTTTCTTTTAACTCTTCAGTTTGGCGGACGTTGCATTTTACAGGATTTTTCGCGTCGAATTTTCCTGGATTTTTCGACGGCCGTCCACGCGCCGTTTTCGAGAAATGGCACCCGTTATTTCACCCTCGCGAACTTTCACGGTGTATTACCGGAGTAGACCTCTCTGCGTCTCTCTTTCCCTCTTTTTTAAAATTCGCGATAACGCTATTACCGCGAACATATACCGGCTGTTTTTGCAAGCCGACGCCCGGAAAAGATTTGCTCTCCCGCGTCGGATCGCATGACGCGCCTGCTCGCTGTCGCATTTAAACGCATAAACGAATTAACTCGAATTTCAATAATCCGTTTAGCTCGCGTCCGAAAATTTCGTCCCCTGGGCTGTTTCGGAAAACCGTCCGGCGTAAAGCAATTTTGTGTACCATAAACAAAATTATACGGAACATAGTGCATTTCGGGAGAGGGGGGGGGGAGAGAGAGATTAAAAATATACATATCCTTCTCTTTTTTTATAGACACTTGTACCAAGTTAATTCAAAGAAAAGTTATGTTCGCTACTTTAATGACGATTTTTATCATTGTTGTAGTCTATGAGATATCTGTAAAATACGAAACTCCGCTTAAGCGAGCGGATTTCGACATTCAATCACGATAGGACAGCATACATAGAGATTCGAATAAACGCGATGAGGTATCGAAAGTGTGGCTTCATGGATATTCGTTGGACGAATCGGGCGACTGCAATCACGTGGCTTTTACGCCGTCGTCCCTCGCTGAAAAGCAAATGAGTGGCTGCTGGCCACAGAGACGATGATGATGATGATAACGATGATCATCGTTACGATGTCCCGATATACGATGACCGTCGAGCTGCAGCTCCAATGATTCACGGACGCTCATTAGCTCCCGGCTGTCCTTCCCACTCTCTTCTCCTTTATTCTCTCATTCTCTCACCCTTTATATCGCAGCACTGTCTCTTCTGTCAATATGAGATAACGAACGGTGGGATCGCACGCTGCAATTGCAACCATCACTTTCGCGATTTATTATTTACGAAATTTAATCCTATCGGACGTTCATTAGAAGCAGCTTTAAAACTGATGAAATAAACAGGATGAATGTTTTCGTCTTGTCTGGCGGCGGTATAATCGAATGAAAGTATAAATCAAGCCCCGCGCAATCATCATCGTCCAACCCGACCCTCGGAGTGCAGTTGAGTAGGCGATCGTCTACCCATGGTGCGGAACGACGATGATGATGACTATCGTTGTAGCCCGAGCTGATGATCTCGTTAGAGTTTCGATGGTTTCTGCCATGGATGACGCATACAATACAATGAAATACGGTGGTTGTTTCGAGTGGATAGCAGCGTGATATCGGAAATGTCCACTTTTGAAGAAGACTTTTTTCAGTAATTAATAAGTCGTGATTGATATTTTTTTTTAAATAATATTCTAATAGATTCCAAAGTCAATAAATATTCTTTTTTAATAATAGATTCTTCCCGATCGATTTTATACAGCATTTTTTATAAATTTTTTTTATCGTATATTTTTATAATTAAGCATTAAATTAAAATTACAGTAAAATAAGTTTCATGAAATTAAGAAGTAAAGAATTTAGTACCGTCAATTTTTAACTTCACAACAAATTTAACTCGAAAATTATTGATGCCTCTCTCATTTCGCTAAAAAAATCCTTTTCAAAAAAAGAATTTTCTATTAAAAGAGCATTCGATGACTTTAGGATATTCTGTACATAACGTAACGCAACTGAATTGTACTTTATTAAGAACGTACGTCGTGGCGATCGGCCCTTTACATCCCTCGGCGTTGTCGGTTCGCCGCGACGGAATCAATATGGGATGATGAACTGCGTGGATTGAAAGCGATCGCTGGTGTTAACAGCGTTATAACATCCAGTCTCTCAGGCCTGTCTCTCTGTATTGCAACCGGTGCGGTCATGCGATGTCCTCCGCGGTATTTTGCACGCCGTGACCCTACGTTGCGAAACCCGTCATTTACCTCTATCTATCACCGATCATTTGGTGGCCGAAGCCGCAGCGAGAAAGCCACGACGTGTCGGTGCGTGGTTTCGATATATTCACTCGAGTGTGTTTGATTTTCGCCTTTTAAAGAGTATCTAGATCCGGATTTCTCTCTCTTTCTCTCTCTCTATTTATCTTTTGAGTAAATTTCCACTGGAAATTTTCACTGGAATTTTCGCTATAAGGACTTTCCTTTTTTTTATTCCTTTTCTCATATTTTTTCGCGTTCTATCGAGCTCTTGAAAATCAGATATTGCGTTTGTCGCTCTTTTCCATGCGCGACGCATACACTCTTGTGGATACCGTTTGATCTACGAGCTTGTTTACCCTGTTACGCGAATATAAAGCCAGCCGCGTTTGCGATAGGTCCCACGTGTCCACGTCTCGTTTCCGCTTCGGCGCTTTTTTATCGAACGAGAGCAAGTATTTTCCTTTTACGCAAAAAAAAATAAAAGAAAAGAAATAAAATGCAGAAAATCGGAAACATGTTCGATAGAAAGTGAAGCATGTCGTTATCACCGCATGACTGACGAATGATAAAAGACTGATGTTTATTGAGTTTTACGAGTATGATGAAATTAAAATTATTAATTGAATGCGTTTTCCAAGAGAGTAATAACGATACATTTACTCTTTTTTTTTTATGAAGATCGCAGCGCGAGCTTTGCATGGAACTGACATTAAGCGCTGCTTTTTATGGGTTCTGATTGCAGTTGGTCGCGCATTTTATGCTCGTGTACTCCTCATGCCGAGTCACGATGATTTTTCATGGAGAGCGGAATAATTGCTTTCAAGCGGTATAATATTTTATCCCCTCCTAACAAAGTCGGTTTTGTATATTTCAATTGAAATGAAAGATGTTTCTGGATAAAATAGAACATGCAATTTAATTTATATGTATTTTTTCTCTTCTATTTTCAGATGAAATCTTGTAACATGATAGGCGATATCATCCTATATTTGATATTTTTCAACTTTATTATTAATTCGCCGAGTATTTCATCGAGTATATAATTTAGAAATAATACTTCTCACGCGGAGAGAAGTATTACTAATACTTTTTTATATTTTCCATGCGAACAGAAAATCGGAGAAATTTAACCGGATAAAATTCGTCAATATTTAAATGTCGCGACTTCTCCGCGTGCATGTTTTCTCTTTTGTAGTTATATATCGCTAGTTTCCGATTTGAGTGTCGAAACTCACTGTCGAGGTTCCCTTTCCGGCTGAAATGCGCTTAGTTTTTCGAAAATATAGGTACAAGAGAGCCGCACATATATTAGAGACGATACATTTTTCTTCATACGCGTAATTCGACGCTCGTCTGACTCGACTATCGCAGATAAGGAATTAAAAGTTGCGGATTTTACCGGGCTTATTACGAATTAAACCGCGTCGGACGGCGAAAAAGCATCCGTCGCTCGTAAACGCAAATAGCTTGCCCACGTAAAAATATCTACATACGTGTAGGTTTGCCGGATGGGCCAGTTGGATTAGGTAATGCACGAAGCAGAGGTGGAAAACTTTATTTTCCTCGACGTTATTTTACGATTTTGGGGGTTTTTCGTTATATGCATGTGTATCTCGCTTGCTGGAATATTATTATTATAATATGTTGCGTTACGTTACATCTTTATTATATTGCATGATCGATAATTAATAGAATGAATTATTTGCATGATCGATAATTAATAGAATGAATTATTTGCATGATCGATAATTAATAGAATGAATTATTTGCATGATCGATAATTAATAGAATGAATTATTTGCATGATCGATAATTAATAGAATGAATTATTTCCATGATCGATAACTAATAGAATGAATTTGATAGATGAGATAATAGAACGCGATTCATCAAAATATTAGAATAAAATTGTTGAATTAAAATCTGTATTTCTTAATCATGTATCACGTAAAAACGATGTTATTTTAGTATATATTATATAAACAAACGACTACTATATACATTTATCACATGGAGCTGAGGCACAAATGTACAAGAGTGGACGATATCGTTCCTCTATCGCTTTCCTGGGATACGCACCCCCGGTACGCGTGTAAGTACCAGCAATAATGCAGCGATATACCCGGTGTTTAGTACTCGTATTATCGTAGCCCGTGTTTGACCGCGGTTTGCAGTCGCGACTGTATTTGCACAGTATGCGCATCCGTAGATTGCATACTGGACGGATATCGCGATATCGCGGAGGGGTTGTTGTATCATTAAGATATCGAATACGATACGAATGCGCCGTCCATACCCGGTAACGACTTGGAACGAACGCTTTTCGGCGAGAACTCGCGCGAGCATTACGGACAAACGAATCGAGGGGGACTGGAATTGACTGAGATAATGGTAGAGTTTCAGGTGAATCTCGAATGCACTGATAATTATACTAGTCGAAGGTTCGACGAATTCAAACATGTTAAAACGTATAACGTACAAATACATATATATATAATGGAAATCTTATATTTTTTAATGTTAAGTAAAGGTTACAATCTCCCAGAGAAATGTTTGCTTTTCAATTAGTCGCTTAACGAGCGCGTATATCAAACCATGGATTGGACGTATGTGAGAATCGTGTAGCGTTCACCTCGAAATATTCGAGTTGCGCGCACATAAAATACCGTTGCCGTCAATGACGCGAGACGCGAAACGGTAAAATGCGATATTTGAAACGTCATATCCCGAATATTCTGCGAGTCGGTTCGTTGTGAATGCGTTTCCGGCTCGAATAACGAGAAATTTGCCAAGGATCGCGCGCGATCGACGTCGCCCTCCTATCGCGAATTGAGCGCGGGGGTAGAGAAAAAAAATCAACCCTCACATCCCGCACGTCGATCTCGCGAATCAGTTGGCAAGCGTCATTATGAAAAATACGGCCGACGGCGAAATTTCGGTTGCCCATCGCGGAATATGACCCCGCGTTGCTTTTACTGCCGTGGCATCGCGTATAAATTGTCCGGGTGATTCTCGAAAACGGGGAAATTTTTACGTAGCTGTCGCGATCGTTGATTGCCACCGGCGCGGCGAGGGCACGGACTGACGGGCAGGTGCCGGGGGGTGGCTGGCAAGCGGGGGAGGAACGCTTTTAAAAGTGGCCGCCCGAAAAAAAGGCCGTTCGCGTCCCGGCGAACGTGTACGCTTGCATGCGCAGCCGAGATACGAGGTCTCTTTACGAGCAATATCTAATGGATTGCATTGGGCGAGCGCAAACATTAAATTTGACGTTCACGATTATTGCGGCCCTCCGGGGGAGATTTGCGGGGGCGGGAGTTTCGCGGGATGCGGCGGGGAATAGGACGGTGCTCGGCGTTAATTTTATAATCCTAGCGAAAAAAAATTACGATCCGGTAGTGATACGTTCGATCCGCGCGAGCTCTTCCTTTCTTTCGTGTTTTTTTATGTTAGGACTATCTGTTATACTTTTAATTTTCTATTTTTCGTTGGAATAATTTTTTTTTTTTACATACACACGGGCGGGTTTAGACGTCTCTCTACACGCTTGATATTTTATGCATTTTGTGTATATTTGTCATCTTTTCTCTTCTTTCGATTTAACAAGTTTAATTGTTTTAATCATATTTTAATTATTTGAAACAGGATAGTAATTCAGAAATATTAGCTTGTGTTATGATACAATTAACGAAATTCTTTGGAGATGAATTAAAAAGCTGCTGAAACTATATTCGCCTTTTAAGTTTCTATTTACTTAGTAGGACGACAAAATT